TAAAAAAATGAAACGTAAAAACACGAGGTACGGCCGAAGTCATTTCCAGATTTTTTTTAAAAAATTTATTGTAAACCAAAGTATTGGCAATGGTACTTAGGCGCTATGGCAATTGCACTTGGCGCGATCAGGATCCGATTCGGGCATGTCCCCAATTTTGCAAGAATGTTATCAGTATTTCCTTGTGTCACATACAATTCATCAAATATTTATGCAATGTGGACATTTTATTTCCTAGTGTTTTACGAAAGGTTTAGGAAAGCTCTCAATAGCAAGGACGATATCATTTAGATGAAAATAAAAATCAAAAGCGAGAGATAAATGTGTAAAACAATCTTGATCTACATTACAATCAACAGGCATAAAAGCGGGCGCCTTGTCCTATATTATAGTTATGAAATGAGTTCAGCTAAGGGAAAAACGACGGTTAAAAAAATAGAAAAAAGGTCGACAAACAATTAATCCCGACTTGGATGAAAATACATAAATGATGTTCCCAGATTTAGTTTCGATTTCAATTTATTTTTATTTTAATTTTTGTATTTTTATGTTTTCGCCTTGATTTATTTCTGCGTGTGATCTTGATTCTTGATATATTTTACATTGTTGGTACATAATATGTGTGTGTAATTAAATGAAAACGTTTTCTTGTAATTTTTGAATAGTAAAAAAGGGTGGCTTTTAAGAAAAAAAAAAGAAAAAAATTAATTTTAACTTTTATTTAAATTAAATAAAATTAATATATTGATTTTTCTATCACTTTTTATCTTTAAAAAATATTACTTAGCTTTTTCTAACCACAATTCCATAATAAATTTTTAAATAAAGTAGTTTTTCTTCGATTATTCAAAATAATTGAGACTAGGTGGAATTTTTACGAATCGAAATAAATATAAATAATATTCGAAAGTTAACATTGTTTTTGCATCGATTTTTATCAATAAATATTGAGAATTACAGATTTGTGTTATTTATAGTTTAGTGTTTCATTGTATTTAAATTTAATATGATCACTAAAAATATTTTTGTGAAGTAGGTGTAAAGCAAACTTGTGTAAAGTAATTTTATTTTTAAATTCACTTACACTCAGACAGCAGTATGCCTTCGTTCCCTTTTTGAATAAACCATTTCAGCTGTTAATATTATGAACTTTTTATCGATAGTTTGTGTTTATAATCGATTAAATAGCTTTTTTTATTTTTCCATCGTCGCCAGGGACTAATGTAGAGGCTTTTATGGTGTAAAGCAAAGTTGTGTAAAGTAATTTTATTTTTAAATTCACTTACACTCAGACAGCAGTATGCCTTCGTTCCCGTTTTGAATAAACCGTTTCAGCTGTAAATATTATGAACTTTTTATCGATAGTTTGTGTTTATAATCGATTATAGAGCTTTTTTAATTTTTTCATCGTCGCCAGGGACTAATGTAGAGGCTTTTATATCTATGACCGTCGCGTTAGTTCAAGTTCAGTGAAGTTTTGATTTTTTTTATTTCTTCGAACATTAGAAGCTTACGATAAATTTTTCCTCTAACTAGTAAATAAATTCTTATTAATTCTGCATTTTCATCTATCAATAAAAATGTATCAATACTTATATCATAATATTAGTTAATGTTCTTTCTTTGCAAAACTGTTTTAATAACATTATAACTTAATGTTTTAATAACATTTAAATAAGTTATGCTTATGTAGATTAATAAAATTAGCGTGCTCGGTATTATAGATACATTTTAGACTTTTTTTTTAAAAAACAAATTCGGAAGAAAATAAAAAAAATTTTATGTTTAACTTTTATTTGTTCATTGGCCCATTCGTCTTCATTAACTGTATTAACAAAGTGTTTATTGCATTCGTTTTTATTGAAATGACTGTTTAGCGGTTGTAGGAAAAACCTTGAATTCCGAATTCTTTATACGACATAAAACATTCATGGTATTCAATACCATTCTTGCCCTTTGTTTTATTGCCCATTCAGATTTCTTACTGTGAAGCTTATGATGAATGAAAATGCTTTTACGAAAGGGTTGTAAATTCAGAATTTTATCGAAAAGTAATAAAAACCAATTCTAAAAGTTAGAAGAAGAAACGCTTAAACAGAACTTTTTGGTGAGATTTGAAAATGTTTGTATTGAACATTTTATTTAAACATTAAAACACTTCCTTGCTTAAATTAATTTTGAAAGACAATATTTTTAATATTTTGTTCCGTATATTAAATTTTGTTCAACAAAAAAAAAGAAGAAAAAATATTAAAATTTTTTAATTTAATTTTTTTTTTAATTTTATCCTCCTGGTTTATCTAGAAAGGAACCTGGTTCTTTTCTTTTAAAGGAATTCTATTTTATATTTGATCAAAGTTTTCCATTTTTTATAAAATAAATAATAGCACTATATTTTCTACGGGAAAGTTTTTCCATTTCTTTTTTTTTTGAATAAACAATTAAATTTTATTTTCTAATGTGAAGAATTTTTCATTTCTTTCCTTAAAGAAATAAATTATTACATAGCCAATTAATTAAAATTTTAAAAAAAAAAAAGGAAATTTGCCTTCTTTGCGTTCACTAACCAATAAAAAGATTAAAAATTTTTACATTGCCAATAAAGTTAAATTTAAAAAAAAAAGCGAAATTACCTTTTTTTTGTTGCAAGTTATCAATCTTTAAGCGACAATTTCCGACATAGTAAATTTACTTAAAAAAAAAAGAAGGGAAACTTATTTTTATCTTTTTGTCAGCAACCAATCTCTAAACAACGACAATTTTTTAAGAAATAATGCTTGTTTAAAGGTAAACGAGCTCGAAAATCAATATAAGAAAGATAGTTAGTATAAAAGCAAAGTTGCTAGTTACGTTTTAAAAATAAATCTGTCTCAAATCAAATGAATGAAACTTGTGATGCTTCTCGGGGTTAAAAAAGGGTTAAAGGAATACAACTATAAGATAAGTAAAATTTGTAGTTTTCAGTGAAAAAATATATTATCATGCAAAAAATATGGTATTATATATTTTTTGCTCACTATTGATTTCTCAAATAGTTTACTACGAATAGTTTTCTCGAATAGTTACAGAATCTACTTAGAATTAGAGTTGCAGAATTTTTTATTTCTAATTTAATTCTTAAAACATAACGGTTTTAAACTACTCCCAAAATCAAAATGTTCTTCCGATTTGAAAATTTTATCTTTTCCTGATGGAAGATAAGAAACAATTATTTTTCGTGACAATTTTCACAATTTGAGAAAAATAATTCTAATAATAATTATTAATAGTAATAATTTTAATTTTTGTATAAACATATAACATTTTTAGAACCAATATATCTTAAATTTATTTAACAGATTATATTTGGCTTTAAAGTTTCATTTTCCTTCGATATGGAACTTAATATAATTTATAACATCATTTCATAATTGGAAATAAATATTATTTATTTAGATCATAAAATTTTTTCTCAATTAGTCTGAAATCTTATAAATTTTACTGATACTTTGATATTATACTATCTACACAACAAGATATTTTAGACTTTATTGAACTTGAGCCTTATTAAAGCCCTAGATTACCTTGTTCATAAAGTATACTAATTTATGAAGAAGTAAAGCTACACAGGTCTTTCGACCATATAGCATCATTTAAATTAGATGCAACCTCAATATGTTTCCAAGTTTGACCATATTATCGTACCAATTTGAACTTGATCACACAATAACATGGTATAGTTAAACAAACCATTGTTCATGGTTTCATCAGGTTAGTATGTTTTAAGGTATCGATAGTTTGTTTAAACGTTAAACTGATTTTTAAGAGTGTAAATTCAACATAAAAAATATTTATAACTATTATTGCGTATTGTATATAATATGAAGTGGACTGTATTGGTTTGATTAAACATTTATTAAACAAAACTTAATAAAACAAATAAACTATATACACGAAGAAAATTATTACGCTGCTGCAATGGCAGTAAACAATGAAAGGTAGCTCATGAGAGAGCTGGCAAGTGAACTTCCTTGTTTGAAGTTCTTGAGAAAAGGATGCTTGCTTCTCTGACAGTGATGCTAAGTGGAGTGGTGGTGCGATGAGGGTAAAACGCGTAGGCGTATATTTTTGATATCTAACTATTATGTTTAACGACTTTTTTTTATGGATTATCACCTCTAAGAATTTTGACTCTTGCACAAAGAACACTTTAACGTTTTGAAATATGCAATAAGATTTTCTGTAATTATTTGCTGTACTACTCTTTTTTTTTAACCATTTTTATAGAAATATTTCATAGGAATATTTTACAGAAATATTTTATACAAAAAATATAGGGATGCACAGTGGTCCACTTTAAAATAAAAATTATTTTTTAACTAAAATTTACAAATCAATTCGTCGTAACATTGCTGATTATGCATCAAAATTGAAGCTCATCGATGAATTTTTTAAAAACACAAATCATAATGATGTTTTATTTTTAACAATACTAATATTCACATAATATTAAAATTATTTTATCAATGTTCATAAAGAATTATAATTTAAAGGAGAAAAATTACAATTGAAAAAAATTGCAATTATAATGAAAAAGCTGAAAATCTGATTTTTCCGTAGTTTTCTTCATTATTGCTTCCGCGTTGCATGAGTTGAAAGGTATTCGTCATTCTATACCAGAACGAAACTTGATAGCTGAAGTATAATCTCTAAAATTTCCATTTTTATTTAAGTAAATAAATTTAGTTATGATTAATAAACAAAATTTAAAAGAAAAAAAAAAGAATGAGAAACTTTACTTTCGGAATCACAGAAAACGAAACTTCTGATTTATCAACCTTAACATTCCGCTTTTATGAACTGACTGAGTCAAATATATTAATGAACAAAATATAATACACTTTTTTGTATTTATTTTTATAAACCTTTCAAACAACTTCCCAACTTTGCTTTTGAAATAATTTTTGAAACGCGAACTTTGAAAGGAAACTATTGACAGAAATTGAATGCGAAAGTAGTTATTACATTTCTTCGAATGGCATCACTAAGTGACTTGCTTTCATATTCTGCTTAAAACTTTGCAAACGGCCATTTTGAGTGGCGTGTGGCGGTTTCGTCCACGAATAATTGTTACATTCAATATATTTATTATTGTCATAGGTAAGTTTTTCTTTACATTACAGATTTGTGCAAACTATCCTAAGTTATTTTTTGTACAAGTAACATTGCCTTTTCAATTATACATATATCAAGGTTTCATAAGTTACTTAATTTCGCCGGATGTCTGTAAGTAGACGGTGTGACTCAGCCCTTCAAACTTAAATGGACAACTAACCTGATATTTTTGTTTACAATAAATCAGGTTAATTTATTTCTAGTAAGCTACTGTACTAAAAGTTTGTGTATGTGTTTTATAATAAATAATTGTGTTATAGATACATTTTTAGATAAATACGTGGTTTCGTGGAGTGCCGCCCTTTGATTTTGAGCGGTTTTCTTAGAAAATAATGGGCGTATTGTGTTAGTTACGTTAATTAGTTTTTTCGTTAATTTTTAACATGTGTTGTATAATTTTTGACTTCATATGTTTTATGTTAATTTGACTTTTTCTTGTAATTGTATATTACAGTAAACTACATTAATGATCAGGTATAGTCGTATATTTGGTATCAATTAAAATTTGAACTAGTTGTCATATGTGTTAAATGATAATTTGACTGCCTTAGCAGTAAAAAATATTTGATTATTCAATCAATTATTTTCGTTGAATTCAGATAATTTTTAAATATTTTTTTTCACACTACAATCTCATTATGTCATAAATATTATGACCATTCTTACAACATTCACTTGGGATTGTGCTAAAAATTGTTCATAAAAATCATGTATATTACATTGTATTTTGCCACTAAACCAATCTACTTAGCATGTTATTTAGCTGTGAAAGAATTGGATTCATGTGTTCGTAATATTAGAATTTTGGTACCAGGCAAAGCTGAAATATCTAGATTTGATACTAACTACAGCTGAAAAAATATTTTTTATAAAGAATACTTTATTTCATGATTTATGATTTCTATGTTGGTTTGTTTTGATAGGTCTATTTTAGTTTTATGCTGATAATCTAAAACTTGATTATTTTATGTACTAGGAAGTATTTTGTTGTAGCTGTTTAATTGTTAAATGTTTAGTTTAATTCCAAATTTTATAATCTGAATTTATGGATGAGGTGTAATTGGTGTTGTATGTGCATGTAAAATTTTTAAGAGGTTTTATAGTGTTCACATTGAATAATTTATTATATTACTTGCGAAGCTTTTTAAGTCTTTTTAGTCGTGTATATTAAAATTTATTCATACAAATTTTTTTGAAAACTAATGTCTAAGTAACAATTTTCAGTTGTAATTAAAATTTCGTTGCAAATTTAAAAGTAGTTCTTTAGAAAGTGAGAATTTATTAGGATTCAATAAAAGTTAACTGAGTTGATATGTAAGCACAACTGCATATAAATTATTATATTCATATGTTTTTATTGTTTAGTTATAAATGTGAACAATGAATTCATTTCTGTTATTAAAACCTTCATTGAATAATCTCCCTTATCTAAAATTTTTTTTGTGTAAAAAATGTAACTTATTGTTTCAAGGAATTGTAAGAATAAAATATAAAATTTTTTATATTGGGGATATTCCTGTATTGAGACCCGTTAGCATCATTTACTATTACCACAGTACCAAAGAAATTTTGTACTTGTGAAGAATTTTTAAAGTGTTTTACCTAAAGTTAACCTTTCAAGCTGGTCGCATTCTGTGGCACATTTTATAGTTTCCAGTGTGACACTGATTTATTCTTTCTTTTTTTGGTATCTGAAAGAAAATTTAGTAGCCAAAAATTAAAAATGCATATTAGAAGCTATTTTTGCAACAATTCATCACTTTAAAATTAAGCTTACTCTTTAGAAAACTTATATTCTTTACTTGTGACTGGAAATGTGGCAGTTATTTTACAAATATGGGTTTGACAACCTTGTACGATAGTGAGCTTTATTTTTTGTTTTTAACCTCTGTTTTCCTTGTTTCTATATCAGATACAGTTTCTGGCACCATTTGGTTTTGTTATCCTTCTGGTAGCAGCACAGAAGCAAGCACTGCAGATTATTTTATCTTGGATTTGAATATAGCTTATTAATTGCCAACTGTAAAAAAGAAATCTTTATTATTGAAAAGATTAATCTGAAATTTTTTCTGACGATTCATGTCGAAAGATATCGATTGATGCAGTAAATTCTGTTGCCGATATTTATTTATTTTTTTTCCTACTTTTTTCCACTCTAGAGTCTGGTTCACTCTAATTGTGATTTACTTAATATTTTATGCAAGATAAAATTGGATTGCATAAGTTCCTGATTTTACAGTTGGATTTTACTTTCAATAAGCATGCAATGAGGAATATGCTTGAGATTGTAGTACATATTTCTTGAAAAGTCATGATTTGAAACAAGTAATGTAATAAACGTCCTAATGGATATTTTATCTAACATTGATTACTGGTTTAAAAGAAAGATAATTTTTTTTAAAATTTTAATTTATTCAAACAAAACAAATTTCAAAATTTAATCTTTGTTTAAATTTTAATGAATTCTCATCATTACCTATCCATAGGAATAAGTAATGAAGATAATGATAATCTATCAAGATTAAAATGGGACAATTTTCCTTTGGAAGCTGATTTTAAAATGACTTAGATCTTATTTAACTAAATTTTTAAATTTTTTTATCTTTAATCTTCAGGTAAAAAAATGAACAATTTAGTTTTAGAAATTAATGCTAACTTAATTGTTTCTGGTTTATAATTTTAAATTAATGTCTCTGTAGGTCCTGTTACTAGGTCAATTATCTTATGTAAAAAAAGAGAGAAAAGAGCAATCTTTGGCTGTATACATGTCAAGTTATTTATCTTTTTATGGCTGTCTGCATTGTAGTATTTAAAACCACAAGGTTACAATTTACTGATAAAAATAATTCTTAACTTTTTTCTTTTCTTTTTGAAAGACAGGTTGTAAAATGTGCTAAAGATCATTTTGTGAATGAAATTTAGTTTTTAGTATCTCTGTAATTTCAGGTGTATTTCTTACAACTAATTGTTAATTATTATTTCTTGTAGGATAATAAGTAAACAAGCCAAAAATGCCCAAGCCGGTAAGTGTTTACGTTTGTTTGATAAACTTTTATTTTGTCTTGAAGAATTTAATGTATGATTTATAATAAATGTTTCCCATTTTTAATGTTGATTTTTTTTAAAAATTTTTATAAACATTTTTTTAAAAATATTTAAGTTTTGAAGCATTTTTTCTTTCATAATTATGTTTTTTAAAAGTTCAGAATTTGTTAAAATGACTATCTTTCCTTCATGAGCATATAATGGGATAATGTCATTTTTAGTTGCAAATTTTTTGAGCAAAAAAATTTTAAGTATCTGTTTACTGTGGGAACACGTGCATATACATGTACCAGCACAATCAGTCATTTTTTTTCTTTAATCTGTGCAGGCCATAATATTATAACCAGTCTTTAACTTGATTAAATATTGCCAGCTGTTCTTACGCTGCTCGCCACCAACTTTTGAAAACTATTTTATTTGAAATTTATTGGTTATGATTCGTCAATGCAAATAAATTAGTAGTTGCAGCTTTTAATCTTACCATGTTTTATGCAAAGTGATGAATGACCTCCAAGATATCAAAAGGTCAGTGAGATAACCCATAGATGTTAAGTGGAGAAATACTTTTGATTTAATTATTGGATCTTCATGTTCTAGGAAGGTCTCTTAAAGGTTCAAGAGTATTACTTCAAATATGCTAATTAGTGCATACAATATTTTAAGTTACAAAATCAAACACAAAAACATTCTTTCTCTGAATAAATGTACCTTTATTTAAAATAACTCTGATTTGAAAAGTGATTGGATATAGTTCCTGTGAATTTTAAAAAAAGTGTTTTTAAAATTTGATTTCTCAGGAATTATTTGACTCATTTCGCTTAAATTTTGTACTATGCCTTGTAAATTTACATTGTGATGTAAAAATAAGTAGTATAACTTAAAATTAAAATTTTCTCCTAAGTTATTAAATTAAATATAAATAATTTAAATTTTTTATGTGCGAAATTGAAATTATCTCTGGACTAGCAAATTTTATAAATGTGTACAAAGTTTTTGATTCATGTACCAAAAAAAAAAAATCCTGAAATGTGGATAAAATAAGCAAAAAGTAAAATTAACATTAAAGAGCTCGAACTTTGAACCCTATTTATGATCAAACTATTGAGACCATATTTTCCATATCAGGGATACTCCCTATATTTGGAGTCATAAATTTGAATTCGTCGAGAAAAGATATGTTTATATTCAGAGAAAGTAAGTTTTTGTGTCTGATTCAGTAACTTAAAATATCGTCTGCATTAATTAGCATATTTTAGGCCACCTTTTCGAATCGTTAAAATTGAGTCCTAGAGCGTGGAAATTCAATCGTAGAATAAATTATTCAGGGGATTTTTTTTGCACTACATGCTTTTTATAATGCTAGTTGATTCTTTAATTGTATTCTGAAATTATGTCTATGACTCTGGCATTTAAGCAAATGACAAATTGTGCTGTTAAAGTGTTAGCATTATTTTAGCCATTCTTAATTAAAAAAAAAATTAAAATTTAACACAATGATTTGAATCTACAAGTTATCATAATAAGTATGATTAGTTACAGTTAGTTATCGTTAATAACAAGTTATCATAATAAGTATCGTACAATTCATTAGTGCATATAAATTTTTTGCTGATCTCAAATTCTAACTCTTATACATTTTTTGCTTCAGGTAAATGTTCGAGTTATCACGATGGATGCGGAGCTGGAATTCGCAATCCAGCCCAATACTACTGGGAAGCAGTTGTTCGATCAAGTAATTCAATTTCATATTGAAATCATTGATTCTTTGCATTGTATTTTATACATAATATTTAGTTCTAATTCTTTATACTGTCATAATTTGGGTGGTGGGATATGAAAATTGAAATATTTAATTTCTTACATTATAGTAATGTTTGATTTATAAGTAATAAGCTAATAATTTTGTATATTGACATTAAGAAACTGTTTTTTCTTTTTTATAATAAAAACCACTTGATGAAAAACTTCATATTGATTAATTCCATTTATATATATAACTTAAAAATTTGAAATATGTTACATATTTTATTTTGTAAACCTGATTATTTTTGTTAAAGAGGTTTTCTTTAGTTTAATGCAAGGTTGGCAAAATTCATGATCTTTTTTTAAAATAAAAAAAAATATTAAAAACAGATTTATTGGATTTAAATAGATTTATTTCTATTTAAACCAGTTTTTTTTTCAATTTTAATCATATATATGCATATTTTTTACCGCCCACATCATCTGATAAAACATATTAACAGTGCTTAATATTATTTATTATAAACTAATCACTGAATAAATAAAATCATGGTTATTTTTGTACAAGCTAAACTTCCTAAAATTTTAAAGACTGTCAATTTGTCAGATATTCAATAAAGATATTCAACTAGTTTAAATATAAATATAATATTAAGAATATTATATTATATTCTTACCAGAATATAATATTAAGAAAAAGTTTTTTCTGGGCAGAACAATTCTTTCTTTAAAATTGGTAAACACTAACTGCTTATTTAATGTTTTAAAAGCACTTTAAAAAATAACATTTAATAATTACATGTTTATTTGAATCAACATTTAAATGAACATAACTAAATGAGTATAATTGAAATATATTTATTACCAGCAAATAATTTTACATACAGAGGAAAGTTATCGTTTAATAGTTAAATGTTACTCTTATTTGGATTAATTGAATAACTTAAAAAAATCAGTTTATTTATATCAATGATTTTTTTAAATTTTTTTTAAAATCAAATTATTTAAAGCTTGCCAAGCTGGCTTTTATGTATATATAGTTATAAAATTGACCAAAAATAAGTTGTCACAAAATTTTACTTACTTATTGGTTTTTGCATTTTTAATTATGTATCCATCTTCAAATGTAATGAATAGTACTTATAAACTCAAGTACTTATAAGTAATTAAGTTAAATAAGTTAAGTATTAAAAAGTACTTATAAGTACTTTTTTTATATCAATTCGATCTTTTATAAAATAAAGTTCAATACTGTCTGGTTTATTCCATGATTAGGTGATATAAATGTCAGGGTTGAAGATGAGTTTCTTAGTGATGTGCCATAGAAAATTCATTAATAATTAAGTGTGTAATGTCATTCTAAAGCAGCTTTATCACTGAATTTTTTATCAGATTGTAGACATTGTTAGTGTTAGTCACTGTACTACTTTAATTGGGAAAAAAATTTACTTAATGCCTGAACTTCTGATTTCGTAGATGTTAACCTAGGTATAATTCTGTTGCCTTAAACTATTAAGGTGCACAAAGAAAAAATTATTGTTTTTTAGGTTTAATAAAAATTTGTTATATTTTTAATTCTGGTAATTTTTTGATCGTTATTTTACTTTCGTTATTTTTTTAGAAAAATAATATGCTCCTTACTATTAAGATGCAAATTACTTCACTTTTTAAAATTTTTTTTTGTTTGGTGAGAAATGTTTAAAACACTTTTACAATCAGAATCAGATGACATTAGGGATGTACTGGGTTCAAAATTTTGCTAGGTACCTAATGAAAAATGCTTGTATACTTGAATGTAATACTTGAATTTGATCCTCGACAATTAAATTACCGACTTACACTATTTTATGTGTATATTTCGGAAAGTAATTTTCCCTCATTATCTAAATAGGAGAAATATTTGTAGTTCATAAAGTATTAAACGCATGCTAAGAGACAATCTCTATGCATAAATTTTTTTTTCAGAATAAGTAAACTAAAAAAATTATTTTTTGATGAAGAGCTTAAAAGATTTTTTCTATAATTTATGCTGAAAATTATTATAAAATGAACATTTAAAGGTACATTATTTTAAAAAGGTATTTTTTAAAAAAAAGTTATTTATTTAAAAAATTTTAAAATATAAAATCACCTAAAAATTTAATAATGTACCTCCTGAAATAACAGCTTTTAAAAATTTAACGAGTTAAAATAATCCTTACAAAGTAAATATTTGTAATCGTAATCAGAATTAAATCTGCAAACAAGAATAATTTGCGTGTGTAATTATCAGTTAATTTTTCTTTAAAATGGAATCTGAATAAAACTGCTGTGTTTTTAAGGGATCGCGGCTTATTTTTACAAAAAGGGCAAAATTCATAGGGATCAAAGGGTAGGCAGGATGAGCTGGCTGCCCTTCTAAAACTCTTAGGGAGAATACTGTGCATAATGTTTGCTGGATAAAAGGTGTCTTGTTCAAGTGTTGGCATTACACTTACTAATGGTACTGAATTTTCTAATAATTACCTTGATTCTTGTACTTATGTCAAATTTTTATTTTTTCTTCTAGGTTGTGAAAACAATCGGTTTGAGGGAAATCTGGTTCTTTGGTCTCCAGTACACTGACAGTAAAGGGTTAACAACCTGGTTGAAATTAAATAAAAAGGTCAGAATTTATTCTTTTAAGAACAATAAAGAATTAAAAGAAATGTTATCCCTTAGGCCAGTGGTCTCAATCCTGGGGACATGTTTAAATGGAGTTAAATTATTGAATCAAAACAATTAAAAATACTTCAGTGAGTCCCGATAAAACTATCAAAGGCTGACTGGTCTGCAATTGGGAAGCACTGCCTTAATTAATCAGTGGCAACCTCATTTGTTTGTAACTGAAATTTTGTCTTGCTTTTGAAAATTTTGCTGGAAAATTGGCTAGATTATTTGAAACATATTTTTAATCAAGATTCTTTAATTTGTGTAATCTGTGTGATCTGTGGCAGTGTCGCCTCCGTGACTAAAGTTCACAAGTGCCCTCTGGGTAATGTTAAATGAGCAACACCTCCGGCATCTTCTGAGATGAAGAATGATGGCCTTCCGTTAAAAAAAGAGAATAATTTGTGCAATTAAGTTAATAAAGATATTGTGACATAGTCACTCGCTAAATTAAAGATCACATTGTTATATCGTCCCTGCAGTTACTTTTGTAATTTCTACACTTTCGCTTTTTGAAATGTTTGGAATTTCTGTTCCCCTCTTTTTCCTAGAATTGCAGGTGAGTCTGCGTTCTTTGTAGTTCCGTGTCTGATCTCTACTTCTTTTTCCTAACCGTAACTACCTTTAATTTTTTTAAACACTTTTACGTTACCTTTATATCCCTCTCTTAACCGCAACTTTTTAATTTTTTCTAACTATAACTCATTTTTAGCATTTTCTATAAATAACCCTCCATTTTCTCACCCCGGCTGCATTCGATTTTTGTATCTCAACACGAGATATCACCAGCGGCTCCTCCATTTTCAGGGATGAGATTCTTCCTCGGATTCGCGGATTTCCGCTTTTTTTCAGATTTTTCCATTTTTCCCGCTAATTTCCGCTGAAATTTTATTTTACACAAGTTAAAATNTCACCAGCGGCTCCTCCGTTTTACTCATTGGCCAGTTTTTGTTGGTGGCTGCTGTTGTGATGCCTGAAAAGCCTTTTTCTTACATTCATCATCACCAACATTGTATAGAAATAATGCCCGCCAACTTGCAGTCGCTGACATCTAATTTTCCTGTCAAAATTAACTGCCCTCTCCCACTACCACCAAGATGAGTGTGTTCCAGTGTGTTTTTCTTGTGGACCTAAAATAAAGAACTTATGTTTTAACTACCTTTTAGAGACTTTTTTTTTTTAAAAAATTGTTTTCGTCACTTATTCAAGAGGTATGTTTTTTTTTTATCCCTTTTTAGTTTGCTGGGTTGTGTTATGAACACCAATGCTTTGTACAAAACTTGCATTTAACTGGCCATATTTTTCTTTTTTAAAATCTATTCAATTTTTTTAGAATAGTTCATTTTTACTTTTACCCAGCGAAAATGGTACAGATATCATTGATTTATAATGAATTTTAGCAATCTAAAACCTAATGTTTTAATTATCTGAGCTAGTGTTGCCACTAAACGCTATTTACTTTGCACAAAATAATAAAAATGTTACATCTTAAATAATTTTTAAACTGATAATGATTTACTAAATCATTTTTCCTCAAAGTATGAAAAAATATAAAATAACACTTTTTGACCTGTAATTCAGATGTATAGCTTTTTATTATCTCCAGGAATTGTATGTAATTTGAATAGTTGATTAAGTGTCATAAATTTGCATCATAGTAAAAGAAAATCCAATCATTGAATAAAAATTGTTCTTGGTACGACATATGTAATTTAAAGTATTTATTTATTTTTTTCAAATTAGGTTCTCAACCAAGATGTTAAGAAAGAGAATCCTTTGCAGTTTAAATTTAGAGCAAAATTCTATCCTGAAGATGTTGGTGAAGAGTTAATTCAAGATATAACTGTGGTATGAAAATATATTGATTAAAGTAAAATCTAAATTATCTGCAGAAAAATATTATCAATTTAAAATTTTTTCAAGATTTTCTCTAGTTGTGCTGTATTTGCTTTGATATTTTATAGTTCTAATAGCATTATCAGAGATGATTGTACTATGGGGAAAATCCGGATTTTTCAGTAAACGCGATCCGGAAGTTTCCGGAAATCTGAGATCCAAAAGTTTGAAGAAATTATTGATCACATTTATGTATTAAAAATTTTTTTTATGTTTTATTTAGAAATATTAGAACTCAAATTTATACTTGGCATCTCTTTCATTTGTAAATATTTTTTCTAGTAGAATAATAAACGTGTTTAGAGATAAAAGTAAACTTTAGCATAATTATTAATTTAAATTATGCTGCATATAATTTATTTAGAATTTCATGTTTTGAAAATATCATTGATTTAAATTTATAAAGAGGTTAATTTTTTGCAATATGTAATTAATGATTTTATTGAAGAAATTTTCAGGATTTTTAAGTTGGGCTCACGATTACCCCTGCATAATACAGGGCCAACTTTCTGCAAGATTTTGAAACTCCTCTGAATCCCAATTTGAATTTGTTCAGCATATTTTAATATAGTTTTTCAAAATGATATTTTACATTTGACATGAAAGAAGTGAAAAAATAGGAGCATGGTTTTTATATAAGGAAAAAAACGGAAACAAAAAATTTTTGAAAACGTTAAAAAGTAAATTAATAAATAAAAATTCCTATTTGTCTACTTTTTAAAACTTTATTTTTATCTAATATTTTAAATGTAATGTGTTCTATAATTTTTCATATATATTTATTATAAGTTAACTTCAAATCTACTTTTACTGTAAAGATTTTCTATTTTANTAAAGTAAAATCTAAATTATCTGCAGAAAAATATTATCAATTTAAAATTTTTTCAAGATTTTCTCTAGTTGTGCTGTATTTGCTTTGATATTTTATAGTTCTAATAGCATTATCAGAGATGATTGTACTATGGGGAAAATCCGGATTTTTCAGTAAACGCGATCCGGAAGTTTCCGGAAATCTGAGATCCAAAAGTTTGAAGAAATTATTGATCACATTTATGTATTAAAAATTTTTTTTATGTTTTATTTAGAAATATTAGAACTCAAATTTATACTTGGCATCTCTTTCATTTGTAAATATTTTTTCTAGTAGAATAATAAACGTGTTTAGAGATAAAAGTAAACTTTAGCATAATTATTAATTTAAATTATGCTGCATATAATTTATTTAGAATTTCATGTTTTGAAAATATCATTGATTTAAATTTATAAAGAGGTTAATTTTTTGCAATATGTAATTAATGATTTTATTGAAGAAATTTTCAGGATTTTTAAGTTGGGCTCACGATTACCCCTGCATAATACAGGGCCAACTTTCTGCAAGATTTTGAAACTCCTCTGAATCCCAATTTGAATTTGTTCAGCATATTTTAATATAGTTTTTCAAAATGATATTTTACATTTGACATGAAAGAAGTGAAAAAATAGGAGCATGGTTTTTATATAAGGAAAAAAACGGAAACAAAAAATTTTTGAAAACGTTAAAAAGTAAATTAATAAATAAAAATTCCTATTTGTCTACTTTTTAAAACTTTATTTTTATCTAATATTTTAAATGTAATGTGTTCTATAATTTTTCATATATATTTATTATAAGTTAACTTCAAATCTACTTTTACTGTAAAGATTTTCTATTTTATAAATGTATTGAAAACATTTCATTTTTATTACCAAATTGAGTTTAGTTTTGTTATTTAGTTATTTTGTTTAAGCTTTAAAAATTCTCCACAAAATGCTTCTATTACTGTTAATAATTTTGGAAACTCTGCATAGTATGATAAAAATTAATGGTTTTATGTATTGTCTGTATATATTGCATGGCATTTTTTACATATTTGTGATGAAGTGACAAATGTGTGATGAGTTGACAAATTACACTTCTTAGTCTAAATCTTTTTGTTTAAAGATTTTTAGTTTCTTGTGCTCTTATTTTTATTTGTATTGTACCTATCAAAATGTGTTAATATTTTACTCTTTGTTACTCTTCAGCGTCTCTTTTATCTTCAAGTAAGAAATGCTAAATTGAGTGATGAAATATATTGTCCGCCTGAAACGTCAGTACTATTAGCTTCATATGCTGTGCAAGCTAAACATGGGGATTATAATCCCGATATTCACAAACCTGGTTGCTTGGCAAATGATCGACTTCTTCCACAACGGTAATAACTACGCTTGGTCTTTTTTCCTCCCATTCTCAAATAGGTTTCCTGTTCATTCTTCTAAATATGCTGATGCTCTCTAATCTAAACTATATATGACTGTTGCTTGTTAAAATTAAAGCAATTCTGTGAGACAAAGGACAATGCAAAAAAAGAAAAACAAATCTTAACACTATTCTTCTTTTAGCAAATTAGTTAGTTTTTTATTAACTATTTTAGGTATAAAATTAAAAATAGTAGTTTTAAGTATTTTGTAATAATTGGTACATCAGCCGCATGAAAATTAAACATCAGTCACAAGATATTTTTCTCCATTTACTACTTTTTATACATTATTTCATGTGTACTTTCAATGATTCCTGTTAATCTGAATTTTTTTGAAAAATAAATTGAAATCCTATTGTTTACAGAGGAATTTTAAAATAAATATTTAACTTTTTGTCATTTCCCTGTAACATTACTCACATTTTGAATTTTTATTCTAAGCAAAACCTTTTTATTTTTAATTTTCTTCACTTTTTCTAATATGTATTATTGTGCTATTTAAAATATAAAAGAATATTATAGTGTTCTTATAAATATCATACAAACTAATGAAATATTATAAATAATTATGGAATATCACAAATACTTATTGAAGTTTAGCATGAAGGAATATATATTTAAGACAATGTTTTTTCAACTTAATATTTGAAAATAAGGAAATTTTAAAAAATAACTAAAGTGACAAATTGAAGTTCTAAACTTTTGGTTTTCAGCAATTATTGCCATAATAAGAATTAAGTCATGTCTAGTTTTTTTTTAATAATACTGGTATTAAAGTGATTTTTCTCTTACAGTGTAATGGACCAACACAAGTTATCTAAGGAGCAATGGGAAGAAAGAATTATGAATTGGTGGGCTGAGCACAAAGGAATGCCTCGGTAATGTAACATGAATTAATTAGCTCTTTAATGCTGGTGTAAATTGCATTATAAAATATTTATGCATTTGTCTCATGATTCTTCTATTTTAGGGAAGATGCAATGATGGAGTATTTGAAAATAGCCCAAGATCTTGAAATGTATGGTGTGAATTATTTTGAGATAAAAAACAAAAAAGGAACAGATCTGTGGTTAGGTGTTGATGCACTAGGTTTAAATATTTATGAAAAAGATGACAAGTAAGTTAGTTTCTTGATCAAAGAAAATGCTTCTTTTCTTCAGAAATGATTTTCTTGTTTCAGATAAAAAAATTGTGTATAGTTGTTGTTGGGATGTCAACGATTGCAAATTTTGATAGTTTTAATGAATTTCACCTTTGATTAAAAAAAACTTTTGAAAACCGTAAAATATTTTAATGAACTATTATCTGAATTGTTTTGCAATTTGATTGCTCATGTCTGCCAACTCTACTGGTTTTACTAGCAGACTCTTGGATTTTGTCAGTTTCTCCTACTCTGCTGGTTTGAAAATTTTTCCCTGACTTTTATATATTATAAAGAATTCCTTAAAACTGGGTAAGTTTCCTTAAAAAAAATCTCCATTTAAATAGAATTTTTACTCTGTTTATTGCTTGCTTGAATATTTAAATATATATTGCTAATACATAATGACGTGAGCCTCATTTATAGTAGGTAATTAATTTGGAGTTTATTTTCATCTGTTTAAAAATTTTCAGTTTCTTATTCAGAACTTCCTTTAAAAAAATCTTTCAACTTGCAATAATAAATTACTTGTTTATTAGTATTCAAAATTGTGAATTAGCAAAATAAAAACTTTTTCTATCCATATTAGCAGCTATGGGTGCTTGCGAACTTTATTTTTTATTAACCTGTCAACATATTAAATTCTAAGCAATTAATTTGGCATTGTAATAAATTCTGGTAATAAATTCTGGTTTCTCTATGTAATTATGTAATTGGGATATTTGTGTTTGTTTTGAAAGAATGCAAATTTTGGAATGTAGCTTTTAGAACTATGTTTAATTTTGTATTTTAATATTAGTTGCTATGAAAAATTCATACTAGAGAAAATAATTTCTTCTGAATAATATCTTTTCAATTACTGGAAAACAAATTACAAATCTTTTAAGTATTGCCATTTATTTGATAGAGATAAGAGTTGATCTTAATGTTTTTCAGTTGCAGTTTTTAAAAATTCTGAATTAACTCTTTTGTGATTAGTGATGAAGGTACTCCTAAAGCCCTCTATTATTCTTAGTATTTAAGATGTCACAGAGATATTTATTTACAAAATTTTTCTCTAGACTGAAATAAGAAAAAGATAAAAACAAGACTTTTTTTTTTTTAACAGTTCATGTTGTCCATGTCAATCATTAATTTTTATCACCTAGTATACATTTTTATCAAGTAAAATGTGAAATCTTAATATTTGTTTGTTCTAGGTTGACACCCAAGATAGGATTTCCATGGAGTGAAATCAGAAATATATCTTTCAATGACAAGAAATTTGTCATTAAGCCTATTGATAAGAAAGCTCCAGTAAGTAGAAATAACAGTTCAACTTATGAAAGTAATATTTTGTAATTATTTTAATTTGCTTATTATCTTAGTTGATAACTTATTCAGTTTTCATACATTATAGTAATAAAGTTTGTCTGTAACAAAAGACAAAAAAAAAAAAAATTACAAAAGTCATGTAAGAATTTTTTTTTCCAAACTGATCAAGTTTTCATTTTATCGGGATATATTTATTTTTAATTTTAGTGTAATTTAGTTGAGTAGTATTTCACAATAACTTAAAACTGATGAGTTTAATATTGTTTTTTAGGATTTTGTATTCTTTGCTCCAAGGTTGAGGATCAATAAGAGGATTTTATCTCTTTGTATGGGTAATCATGAATTATATATGAGACGTAGAAAGCCTGATACAATAGAAGTTCAGCAAATGAAAGCACAGGCTAGGGAGGAAAAACAGGCTAAACAACAAGAAAGGTAATATAAATTTTTTTTATTTTGCTGTAAAATGAAAAAAAGTAACTTTTTATTTTTTGAGTTTAAAATCATATTTGATACTGTATCATGTCTGTTTCTTATTCATTTTGTGAAATATAACAATTAGCTTTATTAGCTCCTAAAGATAATATCCACTAACGTTCTACCAATTTCAAATTTTTACTAATACAATTCTATTCATGTCAGAGTGCAAGGTATTTTTGAAAAGTTGCAAATAAAATTTATTTAGTACAATAATGAAATTTTTCTCTTCTTATTAAGTGTTATTTACAAGTAAATTTTTTTTTTTGTGTTTCTTCTGCTAAGTTTTACATTATATATATAATTGTTTGTTTTGAGAGAAAGAACGAAAAAAATATCTTTGCAAAATTCTTTTTAAGGAGTTAGATTTACAGCTTTTAGTATTTACTTTTTTATAATATTGATGTACTTTTTGTGATATGTTTTCAGAGAAAAGCTGCGACGAGAAATGGAAGCAAGGGAACAAGCTGAGAAAAAACAACAAGAATATGCAGAAAAAATTAGACAAATGCAGGAGGAGATGGAAAATAGACAGAAAGGTATATATATATATAAAAAAAACTATGCTTGAACATACCCAAAGGGTATAAGGTCATTCTGGGTCATAAGGCAATTTTGGTATACCCAAGGGGCATACCTTTTTTTCTTAACACATTGTTGGTCAGTGACTAGTTAACTCATCTTTTAATTTTCAAACTCTTCTTTAATAACTCTTCTTTCATGCTGAAACATAGTTGATTGATAACAAGTCAACTTGTCATTGGCTTTGCATTATTTGTGCAAATTAGTGAAACCCAAAGTGATAGTTTTGAAAAAGCTTTACACATTGTGTCCATAGTCATTTCAGTCAATATAAATAAACTTGATTGGAATTTGTTTAGAATGTTTTACTTTACTTCTATAATAGGAAGATAATAGATGGTGACATGAGTTTTTGTAATTGTTTGTCAAACTATTGTTAAAGGCGCTTTTATCATTTTCCTTTATATATATATATGCTAAAAAAGTACAAAAATATTTCTTTTTAGGTATAATGATACAATTAGAAAACTATTTGTGAATTTAATATTAAAATAAATGTACATAAAAAGTATTAAAATATATTAAAATGTTATACTTGTGTGGGTATATATATATGCAGGCACAGTGAATAACTTTTGATTTAATTGCATTTTTACTAACATTACATAATGGTTCAAGAAATACATTAAATATTCTATCAATTAGAGAAATAATGTTATAAGTTAAAGCATTAAAACTTAGTTTTTCTGAAAAGGTATGCTATTTGTTTCTGCAGTTCTGATATTTGCAACTCAGAATATGGGAAGCTGCAATCTGAAAATTATAGTCCCATTATTTTAGTTAGGACAGCAATTTAATGCTTGAGGCCTTTAATTGACCTATCATTTTGTATTCAAGCAAGTCAGTATGAAATTTTCTTCTCAATACCAAACTTTCTATGTAATAAATAAAGGGAAAATGTTTTTTTAGATAAAAAAAAGGGGAAGAATGTTCTTCAAACGTATAGTCTCTTATTGTTAATTTTAGATAGGCTTTTAAGTAGTAGATTTATACATAAGTTGCTTTCTAATGTTTGAGATGTGTTAGGTTACATAAGCTGTTAGACATCTAGTTAAATAAAATTATTTTTCTATAAATTTATTTTGCAGAACTTTTGGAAGCTCAAGATAGCATTCGCCGTTTGGAGGAACAGCTACGCCAAGTTCAAGAATCAAAGGCTGATTTGGAGCAGAAACAGAATGAACTTGAAGAGATGCTGAAAAAGCTTGAAAATGACAAAGCAATGGAGGCAGAAGAAAAAGCCAAATTGGTATGTAATTGTTTATTCAGGGTTTTTGAAATTTGATTCTAGCGTACTTTTGCATAAATCAATATTTTGCAACTTAAATTTTTTTAGTAAAATCATTGTTTAGAAATCTATGAAAATTTACTATTCCATGGATTTCCATTTATTTTTTGGCAGGTAGCTATTGATTTTACGAACTCCAATGTTTTTAATATGTTATTGCGACCTTCAATTTTGAGTTATTACTTTCTGGCGTGTTCGATTTGTTACCTGCATTATTAAAATTGAATTTTTTAAGAATATATCTTGAAAAGTCGGGGAATTTTATTCTTTTACTTGAGTGGCAACCCTGTTAAAATTCACTTTATATCTTTAATATATTTAAAATTTTTAAGAAAAGATAAAATTGCTCCAAATCAAAATCATAAATTTAATAATTTTTTATAATTTTTTAAAATTTATTTTATAATTAAAATTATATATTTCAACTGATGTTTAATAAAATGGATAAGTAGCACTATCTTAAAAGTGTTTTGTCGTAAGAATATCTGCAATTTTGAATTAAATTACTTTTAATGATTTAGGCTGAAGCTATTCAGATGAAACAGATCGAAGTTCAGCGTATCCAGGAGGAAGTTGAACTTAAAGATGAAGAAACCAGAAAACTCCAGGAAGAAGTTGCAGAAGCTCGACGTCGACAAGAGGAAGCACATGCTGCTTTGTTAGATGCCACAACACCTCAGCACCTTAATGTCCACGAGGATGAACATGAAGAAAATGATGACTTAGTAAATGGCGAATTTGGTAAGTTTTTCATTAAATTATTTTAATTTTAATTAAACAGTTTTAAATTTAGGAATATTCCTCCCTATGAATTTATTTGTAGTGGAAGGTTTTGAATTTACTTGTGACCATCTGAGTTATCATCCTGTTTAGAGAATTTGTAGTTTGGTTTTAAACTGAGCTATTTTTGTCCATAACTGAGCTAATTTTTAAGTTTAGTGATATTTTTTTTCTTAGTCTAGTATTTTGTTAAGCTAAAGAAATGAAAAGAACAAAACTTTTTTAATTTCTTCAGTTGTATGATTTTTTAAAGTAGCTTAGTACAGGGATGAGATTTTTCCGCTTTTTAGCGAATTTCCGCTTCTGTCTCTTGAATTTCAGTCTTTTAATCAAAGACTCCGATTCTCTAAAAGTTTAAGTTTTTTTTATAAATATTCTTTTTCTGAAAATTTAGTTGAAATAAAATAGTTATATTTATTTCAGATTTTCAAAGATAAACAGAAAATTCAAACTGTGCAACTGCCACCTCTTCTGCATTTTTACTTATTTCTTATTTTACCTACTTTCTTCTCTTTTACTCTCAGAAAATGAGATTTGCCGCGTTTTTGCCCACTGGATAGCTCTTATTTTGGTAATTGAGACGTCACTGCTTCTTTTCTCTATTCTTATTCACGCTATTTTAACATCAAACATCGATTTTCGTATTTACCTGATTTGAAAGTTGTGCTTTGCGATTCTCATTCACACGATTTAAATAGCTTACATTGCGATTCTTGTTTACGAGATTTAAAAATCCATTATCGCAATTTGTATTCACGAGTTTTTATAAACATATCTAGCGATACGTATTCACGCGATCTTAAAATCCAATGTCGTGATTCGTTTATGCGATTGTACTTTCAAACATCGATTTCCGTATTTATATGTGATTTAAAAATTCGCCATTGGGATTCCTATTCACGCGATTTAAAAATTATGCATCGTGATTCATATTTACGTGATCTAAAAATTACGCATCATGATTTGTATTTTTACTTATTTGAAATCCAATATCGAGTTATATATTCATCTAATTTAAAAACCACATATCAGGATTCATATTCTCTCAATTTAAAATCAAATATTGCAATACTTATTCAAGCAATTTTAAAATTAATAATCGGGATTTGTTATCACATGTTTTTAAGGTTTAAAAATCGCTATTTTTTTTGTCAAATTTTTGGATATCACAGCTTCTAAATATTATATGTTATATGTGCGTCTTGCAGANTGTAATAGATATTGATTGGAATAAGATTTTATGTAGCTTAAATTCCTATTTCTAAGTAAAATTATAATAAAATAGTAATGACAAATTTAAATTGGCAGAGAAGTGAGCATTAAAATATGTCTTATAACTATAGCAGCATGTTCTTTAAAGGAAATTATTGAATGTCTATATTTTGATCTGTCAGTATTGTTTTTTAGATTTATTTATATTCTTTAACTATTCCTTGTTTAGGTGCTGAATTAGGTTCTCATGAAGATTCAATTAGTATGCCTAGACCGGAAGAGGATAGAATAACTCAAGTATCCAAAGAAAAGCACCTGCAAGATCAGTTGAAGGTAAGACTTATTATTTATGTGTATCTTGAGGATTATGTTTGAACTCTCCATTTCTCATTATCAGCCTTCGAAAACATTGGTGGTCCACTGATCCAAGACCTCAGAAACCACCATTAAATAATATTCAGTGGTCTGTGGACTGTTATGCCGTCCGTAAACCAACCATAGAACTACAACAGAGTTCCATGTCAATAAATGATGATTTTACATGAGAAAGGAATGGACAAACTTTTGTGTTTTAGAATCAGTGGCTGATGACTTGCAAATGACTGGTATTTGATGCGGAAAGTAACAAAATATAATACGTAATATGCAAAATTATTATCGTAAAAAATTAAGTCTAATAAATCCCAATCAACAAATGTTTTACTTTTTATGTTGCTAATTTTGTTTGGATGGCATGGGTAATGTTGCTTGCCTCTGTGACTTGAGGTTATCAGGTGCCCTCTAAGAGGATTTAAAAAAAAATTTGTCCAATTTTTTTTTTCCGGCTTTTTAACATTTTTCATTTTTCTTGTTAGGATTTATTGAACTAAATATATATCACATGGTGTGTAGCTTTTTAAAAGGTGCTTATTTTTGATTTTCCTGTTTTAAAAGCCCTTAAAGGTGCTTTTTTCATGTTTTTTTTTTAAAAAATGCTTAATTTTCCCTTTTTGAAAATATATTTTTTACCAGGTAGATTTCCGCTGCGTATTATGCAAAAGCGTGGTTTTCATATTGTTCTATTTGGCATTTTCACAATTCATTCAACCCTAATCTATTTCGGCATGCAGTTGGTCCGTAACTTATGATAGTGCCAATCATGTTGCATGTTTGATGAAATACTTAGGAGTGACTACTGAGCTGGGTTCGATGAGATTCTTGCACTCTCGTGTGCAACTCTGCTGCATTTTGCAAGTTATTCACAATTTTAGGCTTGATTTTTTTTACCCTCTGAAATCGAACTGAAAAATCTCTATCTTTCTATGGTCGCTAATATAATCAAGAAAAGTGTTCTTTGTCAGAAACTAGTTATTTTATCATGATCATGTATAATCTTTGAAAATTATTTTCCATGTTAATGTTTTGATAATGTACTTTAAAATATATTTTTTTATATGCTTTAAAAGTGCTCTAAAGGTGTTTATTTTTTGTTGAGAGATTTGGCTACACACCCTGTATCATGAATCATCTAATTTAATTTGACTGATCTGTACTTTACAATGATTGTTTTTTAATTTTAGGAGTTGAGTAAAGAATTAGCATCATCCAAGGATGAAACGAAGTTAACTAAAAACGATCTGCTTCATCAAGAGAATGTGAGGCAAGGACGAGATAAATACAAAACACTGCGTGAAATCAGGAAAGGCAACACAAAAAGGAGAGTGGATCAGTTTGAAAATATGTAATCCAGATATCGTCTGGGACATTCTCACTTCTCTGTTAATGCAGAAAGTGAAGGATTTTGTATATGAAAGGGGCTTAGTGTTTACTTTAAAAGTTAACCTTGAGAGCATTTGCTTATATATTTAAAAAATAAAAAAAAAATCAGTTCATAGTTATACATTCCACATTTTAATTTTATTTGTTTATACATTTAAGTTAAAAAGAATTTTTATTTGTTTCTGGAATTCGTTGACATTTGAATTTAGATCTGAATTTTGATTTGATAAGTTTAAAATTTTGTTAGTACATTTTTTTTCTTTCTTGGTTTTCAAATTTTATGAATTTTGGGGGAAAACTTGAAAGTATTTTTATGTAGGTAGTGTTAAATAAATTGATGCAGATATTTTTTTACGAACAAAGCAACTTTTTAAATCTCTGAATATTTTTAAATATCAACTGTTGACCAGATCTTCCCAACCAATTTTAGACCCACTTACAGTATGTGCCTTTGTGTGATTTAAATTGAAAGTGTGGATTTTTTTTTTGTAATGTTGTATATTTAGCTTATTAAAACTAAAATGCTTTCTTTAATACTATAAGCCCTGTGTACTTACAGTATTAAAATTGTCATATTTTTTTGTAACATTTTATATAACGACGAAGCCTGGATTTATTTCAATTGAGTTCCCGGATAGCCTGAGATTCAGGCTCATACTAAGCTTCCATCCATATAATTCTGCATTTTTGCACTCTTTATTAAATATTTCTTTGTACCATGTTTGCCTTGATGAGTAGTTTATAAATTAGATAAGTTTACAACAGTTTCTTAGCTTGTGTATTTTGAGATATCTCTATCCATTGTTAAGTACGTTTAAAGTCTGTTTTCTTACTCAATTGAGCTTGTTTAAAATGGCCGGTAGTTTTGTAAAACTTAGCTTGTGACTGTCACTTTTTGGAGTTTTTAACGTTAAATCACAGTATTGTTTCCTCCTGTTATGCCATGGAAATGTCTGTTGTTTATTGCTATCATTTAACTGGTGCAAAGGGTTACATTGTCCTTAACATTTGAGTGTTAGCAAATTGAAATATTTATAGACATTAAATCAAACTTGTTATATTTCTGTTTTTTTTTAGTGCTTTATTTTCTATTTATGAGACGTTATGTGCCAGTACAGTATTGTATTTTCAAAAGGGTGGAAATTCATTTTTTTTTTATAGGTATGTTAAAAATTTAAGTTTTTTCATTTTAGAAAAATTTTTTTTGTAACAATTTTGATATTTTCTAAGTTTTTAGATCTGTGCCAAAACCGAAATTTTTTTTAGATGTGAATTGCAAAAAATCTCAATGCTATTTTCTTTGCCGGAAAAGTAATTATGCAATTTGATGTACCTTTTATCTTTAAGAAAAAATTTGTTTGAATCAAAAGTGTCTGCAATATTTGCTTTGTGAATGGAAAATTTATGTAGTTCTAAAAATTGTGAATCTGTCATCATATCATTGTTAGTTTTTTCTTGCAATTTCATAGTGGTTTGGGCACTGTAATGTGGCGAACTTGTTACCTGTATTCATAAATGAAAATACAAATTCCTAGTTAATAAAAAGCTAAGTTTTACAGCCTTTCTTTATTTCCAGTGATTGACACACACACAGTACAAAACCTGATACTTTCAGTACAGGTTTGATACTAAGAGTACAAAAACCTGATACTTTCAATATCAGATGCATATCAACCTTAAATTTAAAGTAAGGAAGAAAAATTAAGTTATTCAGTTTTTAAAAAAAAATATATATTTGGTAGTTGTGCGAAATCTAATTCAAAATCAAATATTTTTTTAACTAAAATATGTCTTATAATATCCAAAATATAATATTTTGGATATTATTAGGTAATATCCTAATATAATCAAAAGATATAATTAGATAATATCCTAATATCCAAAATATAATAATTTGTAATAGTCATTAAAGTTATAGCTGAGCATGTTACAAAAACCTAATACTTTCAGCATCACACACATATCAACCTTAAATTTAAAGTAGAAAGAAGAATTAAGTAATTAAATTTTTTTTTGAAACATATTTGGTAGTTAAGCCAAATCTAATTCAAAATCAAATATTTTGTTAACTAAAATATAATATCTAAAATGTATCTTATTATCTGAACTATAACATGCTTTAATTGTTACTTTCGATGAAGTTCTAAAAATATAATACGGCGGTGTTTGTGGTTTGAAAGTTCAGTTCATTTTTGTGTTGCTAGTTCCAAAACTTAAAGCTGCCATTTACAAGAACATTATGGAGATAAAAAGAAAATTGTTTTAAAAGATTGCTGTAAATTTTTTGCAAGTTTCATATCTTATGCTGATATTTAACTAGTTTCTCCTCAGTCGATTTGTTTACAAAGTACATATGCCCTAATTATTAAGGATATAACAAATAGTGATTTAACCGAATACTGAATATTAAACTGCTGGATAGCAAATTTTTTTTTTTGAAAATCAATAAATATTTTACGTTTATAAATAACTTAAGTCATTATTGAGAAATAATTAAAACCTAAGATGTGATGGCCCAGGGGATAGTGTTCGCCTTCCAATGAGGTGAACCTGGTTCGAATCCCGCATCTGGCTTGCACCGCAGTGGTGACGTGAAATATCCTCAGCGGTAGACGGATTATGGGTTAGAGTTCCCTTGCAGTCAGGCTAACTGTGGGAGGAATTCGTGGTTCTGTTCTCCATGTACCGCAAATGCGGGGTAGTTCTATCAAAAAGCCCTCCACAAAGGCAAATTTCTCCCAATACTTGATCCAGAAGTTCCCTTGTTTTCTGGATTGGGTTTAAAATTACAAGGCTACGGAATCGTAAACCCGAAAATTATGAATTGAATTTCATGGTTTTCCTCTCCGAGCAATGCAAAGGCGGGTTAGTTCCATCAAAAAGTCCTCCACAAAGGCAAATTTCTCCCAATACTTAATCCAGAAGTTCCCTTGTTTTCTGGATTGGGTTCAAAATTACGAGGCTACGGAGTTGAACATTAGTAGTCGTAAGCCCGAGGCTGTTCAACGATAGTTATAAAATAAAATAATCAAAATTTAGCTGTATTATTAGAATGGGGTGAAGGAGAAAAAAAACTCATTTTAATATTAATAATAAGGTTTAAGATAATTGAATTTCATGATAATTAGTAATATTTAAGATAAATAAAAAACTGACTAATAACTATTAAAATAACTATAATTGTAAAGTTGAAAAAAAAAAGGGAAATAGGAAAAAAATAGTCTTAATTTTTAAAATAAAACTTTAATGCTTAAAATATTTTTCCGAAAAAAATCATCCAGTAAGAGACTATAACTATCGGAAATTGTTTTAAATATATAGAGCTATCATAAAACGCCGTAAAAACAAAAGCAAAACAGAACAGAAAAAATGAAAATCTATCTTAATTTTTTAAGGAAAATTTTAAAGCTAAACATCTGTTTTCCAATTACTGCTCTTTCAAGAAAAATTTAAGTATAATAGAAACTGTCTTAATAGTTGCGTTTTAATAAAAACGTCCATAAAATAAAGTTCCTTAAGAAAAAAAAAGCTAAATAGCGAAAAACTGTTCTTAATTTTTAAATGAAAGATTTAAAGATAAAAATCTCAATTTAACTCTTTGGATTGCCTTATTTTTAAAAATATGACGTTCATTAAATACGTCACAATAAAAGCTTTTATAAAGAGAAAAGATAACAAAAAAGCTAAAGAAAAACAGAAAAAAAGATGTTCTTAGTACTGAAATATAATTTTAACATTGAGAATCAGGTTTCGATGCGATTTTACTAGTTATCTGCCTTATCCTAAAGGAAAAACGTGATAACAAAATACGAACTTGAAAACGCTAGATTTAATTGCTACACTAAAGTTAAAAAAAAAAAAAACTCAATTTTTAAAATTTAAAAGTATTGAAAAAACGACGAAATTGCCTGAGAGTAAAATATTTTGTGTACTAATAATACTTCACCTAGCTCAAAGCAAAATATTTTGGATGTCAAATTAAAATCCATATATTTATTACCATTGAATAATAAACTAAATGAAATAGTGAACAAAATTTTTTTCTTTTCATTTAATCAGATTTCAAAAGAATCTGAATACTTCACCCAGCTCAAAACAAAATATTTTAATTTGTTGTAATAATATTACATGAAGTATTGTAATTTTTAGTCGAATTCCCATTTTTCAACTTAAATTTTTTTAAATTTAAAAAACGAAATAAATTAGTTGTACACACTGTCTTAAAAACTGAAACATGCAGAGAAATTGCAAATACTATTTAAATGAAAAATATGTGACGTAATAACAAGAAAATTCTTCAATTGTAACCGAAATGAAATTATATAACCAAAATGGTTGTATTTAGATTAAACTTCTGTAAAGTTTCCGAAAATTTTACTTGAATCTACTATAGTCCTTGATATAATATATCCACGGATTTATATAAGGTATAACTATCACAAATCCATACATTTATTAACATTGAATTAACACTAAATGAAATACTGACCAAAAATTTTTTTTCGTTTTTTTTTATATTTGGATTTCAAAATAATCTGAATATTCAATTAATCAATTTATCAATTTAACCCTTAGCATTCCGTGTACTTCAAAATGCTGTTAGAATTAATATAAGCACTAAATCATTTAAAATACATAATGCAGTATTTTTTGTAAAATTTTTAAAATAATGTGGTTACTAGTTATTGAGGTATAAAAAGTTATTATTTTAGAATGGCGACTATTCATAGTGTCTCAGCATCGTTCTGTAAAAAATTAAAGTGAAAATTATTCCTCTAAATTGCTTTTAAAAATCTTTGAACGGTGACAGTGAAGGATTTTTCGTCCGACGCAAAACCGTACTTTAAAATCGTCCCACACAGAACCGAAATTCGACACGTACCTTCTCTGAATAAACGTACTTATTTTTCGACGGATTTTAATTTCTGATCCCCAAACTATGGTCCCGATAGTTGGGTCAGGAGAGCGAACCAAAGTTATGAACCTTTAATGTTAATATTTTTTGTTGTGTAAGAACATCATAAGAACTTTTTAAGCGAAACGAAAAAAATCTCAGCCCATAATTATAAAATTCGTTTTTCCAAAGATCCAAAAAATAACTTTTTCTAAGCATTTATTATTTTATTTAATAATTGTCTAACCGAAAAAAATTTTTGAATTGTAAAGTACACATTTTTTTACATCATATTAAAGAATGTAATTTTGCATGGGAAAATACGAAATTCGAACGAAATCGGGAGAAATCGAATTTTAACAATACTTTTTTAAATTTCAATTTCTCACGCTCGATTCAGAGAAAGTAATTTCATAACTTAAAATATCGTCTACACTAATTAGTTAGCTTATTGCGCTTCGAAACTTTTATTATTATATCACAAATAGGCGTTAATCTTATAGATATTTAAAATGGTGTATCGCTGTTTGCGCTGAGTTGCAAATTTTAATAAACTGGCAGCCAAAAAAAGTTTTTTTCTCGATGGAAAAATTACTGAAATTGGGTATCTGTGTGGGTATCACTCGTGGGTATCGAACCTGATAGGGTTCTGAATCATGGTATTTGTTTATTGCAGGATTCATCAGCTAATTAGGTTCGACATCCATTCCTGACGTAGCTTGCAGGTACCCATTTAGCCAGGAGTGCGCTAGTTTTCTGGGTTGAGTTTTAACTTACAAAGCTACAGAGTTGAACTTAGATAGTTACAAGTCTGATATGGATTAGCTGTTCAATAAAAATAAAATGAAGGAAATATTATAAAATAATAATCACAAAACAATTCACTCGAGGATAATTTCATTGGAGGAGTTGTAAAATGGTTACTATATATATGCCAAATGTTTTTCCGAATCTGAATTTTCAAAATTTCGCGATTTTCAGAGAAGTATCTCAATTTCATAAAATTCAATTTTTTTTTTGCATGAATATTTTTTGTTTTAAAAAAATTACTCTCATTTTAATTCAGAAATAATTGAACTATTTGTTTAATTTGTTTTTGATTTATATTTATGCGAACATTTATTTTAAACTATTCCTTTTCATTATTTGGATTCTAATTTAATTTTCAGTCACATTCAGTAAAGGGATGTTAAATATCTTTTTCCAAGGAAACTTTAAATTTAGTCAAAGAATTTTGTTCAGTTTATTCAAGAGATCGTTCGTAAATGAAAGGAATCACTGTAACAAAGAGCTAATTTGCGTACTTTTATCAAGTCTGTTAAAAAAAGAAACCGAGGCACCTGACTGAGATTTAGAACAATGGCGCCAAAAATGATTCTTTTTATCATGCTCGATAAAAATGAAACAGTGATGGAAATGTAACATCTGTTATAAGTCAAGAATTTGCATGTTCATAATGCAACTGTGATAATGTTCTAAAGATATATTTTATTTGATTTATTTAATACGTAATAGAAAATATGTAATACATTATTTATACATGATCGCATAGTTTAAGTGTTTGTCAAAATTATATTTTTAGTAATTAAAGATTATTAAAAAAGGACAAGAGAATAATGAGAATTAAATTATTTAGAGGAAATAATCAAATATAAGATTTTA